CGTTGGTTGGTTACTCCCATAAGCTTACGACATTTCTCCCTTCCCTTCCCTCCCTTCAAACCGTCCTGTGTGTCTGTTGCTGCTCTCCTTCAACTTCATGCCTTCTTTCTTCATCAGTTGTTATTCCATACACATATGTAGCTGTATAGACACATATTCCTAATTATAACCCGAGGAATCCACATCATTTTACCTGCATGTTTTCAGGGTGGACCAGTTGAAAATGGACAACCAATTGGTATGCTTTTCCCTGGGGAGAGCCATGTCTCCTGTTCCTGGCTTTCCTCAGTTGCCTGTAATTCTTCGTGTAGGATTGAACCCTCATGGGCTCTTCCCCACACAGTTTGACATGTTTGTTGGTCTCCTCGCTGTTCACTTCATGTTTGGGCAGTTGTGATCGTGTATTTTTTGTTGTTACTAGGTGGCACAACCTCACAGCTAACTCCCCGATCCTCTGGCTCTTAAAATCTTCTCATCTCTTCTTTATCAATGCTTAAAAGATTTTTAAAAGGGCTTCTAAGCACACAATAATAGCGCCAAAAATATCTTTCTACTTCGTGTCTCATGCCTGCCTCCCCCCCACACCCCCCAGACACAGGAAAACTTCCAACTACATAGGGTCAAATGATAATTCTATTTTTAAGTTTTTGAGGAACCACCACACCAATTTCCAGAGTAGTTACAGTAGCTTACACTTCCACTAACTTTGGATAGGTTTTCCTCATTCCCACAGTCTTGCCAGAATTTCTTGTCATTTGTTTTTTTATCATAGCCATCCTGACTAGGGTATATTGAAATCTCAAAGATTTTGTAATTTACAATTCCTTGATGGCTAAGAATTTTTTTTTATTTGTTGGCTTTTTGTCAGCCCATGCGCTCTATTTGTCTAACATTCAATACAATTGTAGGAAATGAAAAGAAAGAAAACAGGAGTACAACACAAATCCTTCAGATTTCTTAAGTACAATTCATATGGTAGAACAAATATTACTTTAAAAGGAATACACTCCAGGAGTTTCTTCTGCAAAAATGTTTCTGAAAGGCCTTAATCACTGTGGGGAAAACAGTGGACCTGTTTGAAAAAGGAACTAGTGTCTGTGGCCAGCAGAATGGAATTCTCAAGTCATTGCCTGTGCTCCTCCTTCTACAGGAGACTGTAGTGCACTGCTGCATGAATGGGTGTGTGTCTTCAACACCCAGAAGCTGGCAGTTGTCTCTTCTCCAGACTGGGGATGAACACAGTTTAAAATGCACGTCACTTCCTCATATTTCCATCACAGCACTTTCTACAGCTTTGGGCCTCCCACCTAGTCTCATCCAGTGCAGATATAGTTCCTTCTATGGATGGAAGTACTAATATATCTATCCTAACACCCACACTCTTCATACACTAACAAGAGAGAAGAAACTTTCTACAGGTTCATTTCTGCTTTCTGAAACTCCAAACTGACATCACAGATTGCATTATATTGTATCCTAGCTTTACATCCAAGAGTGAAGTCTCTATCTCAGTCCCTGTACTGAGGATTAAACGTGATGATGAAGGAAGCACACTCTGGGCTGTGACTGGGACACAGTAGCCCCTCACTGAAAATTTACCTGTAAGACAACACAATGACCAGTTCCACTCTCTTGAAATGATTGCGTTTAAGACTGCTCATTTAAAAGTGGGGGCTGGAGAAATGGGTCTGTGGTTAGGAACACTTTCTGCTCTTACAGAGGACCTAGTTTCTGTTTCCCGGCACCCACATGGAAACACAGCAAACCCAAGCTCCAGGGTATCCACTGCCTTCTCTGGCCTCCTTAGGCGCCAAATAGGCATGTGGTACACATAAATACATCTAGGCAAAACACTCATACATATAAAATAAATGAATCTTTAAAAAAACTTTAAAATAATTTTTTGTGGTAGGTTGAAAAAGAAGTACTAATTTGCTTTATTTAAATCAATGTCACCTACTTCCAAGTTTATTGTCTATTTCTGGGGGTAGTTTTTTTTTCTCCTTGCAATTGGGGATTTGGTGTTCCATAATGGAGTCACTGTAGATCTCTGAGTGGGAAACTGACGCTATCAAAAGCTATTCTTGCCCAGAGCAGGTTGAGGAACAGATGCATCATCAGACACAGAATAGCAGTTAACTGATGCCCTTCATTAAACCTTCATTCTTCCCAGCAAAAGCAGAAGAAACCAGAGCTATGAACAGCTGAACTCTGTCCAAACTTCAGTTGTATTTTTAAATTTCGGGTTAGAATGCATAATACATTAATGCTATACAACCTTTGTTGTGTTCACTTTAAAATGTATATTAAGTAGATTGCTACATTAAGGTAATGTATTAAATTACCCAAGGCAAAGTAATACGATGATTAACTGACTATAAACATTGGTTTATGGTCAGTTTATAAAGTATCACAATGATTAACATTATGCATTTTCATAACAGTAGAAAAATTGCAGGATGAAATATCTGTGGATTGACTCAGTGCCATTAGGAATAATAAAACAGAGATATAACTCAGTCTCAAGTTACATCTTGAGAGTAAACTTTGTTTTAAATCTCTTCTCTAAGTGATTGGAAAATTCATTAATTTAAAATGCCCACGGCTTGCCAAACACGAGAGAGAGAAAGTGTTCATACAAACAGATTAAGCAAAAGCTGATTTAACATTTTTCAAATGTTTTCCTCTAATGTTTTTGCTGGAGAACATTGGGGAGGCATTGATTGTATTTATTATTCTTGCTCATTGATAACACAGGTATATATTCATTGCTTTGATTGTAGACACTGAGACTTTCCACCATATCTGTCTAGTTTTGAGAACACACAAGGAAGAGCTCAAAAACTTTTACTAAAATCAAACTTCTGTTATAGAGAGAGATTGCAAAATCACTCTCTGAAATTTCAAAAATTAGCACACCAGATTGCAATTGTTTTTAGTTTTTTATGCATTTGTCCCTCTATTATGAGCAATCATCACATTGGGTTTCTTGTCTTCTCTAATTCATTTTATTATATTTTCACTAAGATGGGGTCTATGACTAAGTTAATGAAGGAATGAGGAAAAGGGAAAGGAATATTTTCATATTGATGAATTTTATTGCTGATCTATATTTAGTTAATGCTCTTCTTTTCAACTGTATTTATATATCCATTCACCAGTCTATTGGAAAACCCATTTGTTGACTTCTGTTATCTAAAATATGAAGAGTAAATATTAAAGGAATGGTTCGACTGGTATTTTTTTCATGCTATATTTCTTAGGATGTAGAATGTATGTGTAAACTGAATATACTACACTATCAAACCTGGCTTCTATACCACAACATTCTAGAAAATATTACTAACACTGAACTCATTGGTTCCTACTGCTTGGAATATACCTGTCTTGAGCTTAAGAGGTTTGTATGACAAGTAAAATAGCTTGTCAAAGATACAAAAGCATTTTATATCCAAAGAAAAATTAATTTTATCCCTCAGCAATAGTAAATATGTAGGCAAACTTTTCTCTTAAAATAAGAACATCCATACCTCTATAATGGTAATTAAGTTCAAATTGCTGAACAAACTTAAATTCATACTTAAAATTGGTGAGGATTAATTAATACTGTTGTCAGCATGGAAGTTAGTTTTTAGAGCACAACTCTCTAGAAGTGTGATGTGTAACTTCTGTTCACTGGTTTGCAGAGAGGTGTGTACAGAGGTCGGAACTGCACCCAACATACTTTTGATAGCAGCAGGTGTAGCCTTTGTGACTCTGTTCTCTCTCCCTGTTATATTTGTTCTGGTTACATTTATGGAAACACAATTTTATGTCTTTTCACTCTGAAAATGAAATCATGACATTCACAAGAGATGAAATTACACTAATAAAGTAAGTCATACTCAGAAAGACAAATTCTAAGTTCTCTCTTCCAAGCAAAATACATATTGTCAGGTGCTTTTTGTTTGTATGCATGTATGTCTCTTACATGCATTATGAAGCTAGAGATGGGTGAATAAGAGAGGGTAATAGAAAGCATGGGACATCAAAGCAAAAGACAGAACTCTGTGCTGAGGACTAGGACAAACCAAAGTGCAGAATAGAATAGTTGGGGAAAGAGCTAGAAGAAAGTATAATGTCAAATATGTATTATATGCAGATGCCATAATAAAACTCAGTGTTTCCTATGTTAACTTTAAATAAATAGTCATTCTCTGGCAGAATTTTGAAAAACACTTGTAGCTGAAGTTTTCTCTGGTCCTGCCCAGCCCCACAGACCCCACAGCCGGTTATAAAATAATCACTCAGAAGCTTATATTAATTAAAACTGCTTGGCCATTAGCTCAGGCGGACTATTGACTAGCTCTTACACTTAAACTCAGGCCATTTCTGTTAATCTATATGGTGTCATGTGTTCCGTGGCTTTACCTGTGTGCCATTACATGCTGCTCCCTAAACAGCAGCGAGCTGGCGTCTACTAACTCAGCCTTCCTGTCCCCAGGATTCTCTTTGTCTGTTTATTCCGCCTATACTTCCTGCCTGGCTACTGGCCAATCAGCATTTTATTTATCAACCAATCAAAGCAACACATATTCATAGAGTACAGAAAGACATCCACAGCAAGCAATAGTCCTCAGACTCAGGTTATCTGAGAAGCACAGCCATGGAGAATGCTTCTCTTTCCCCTGGATACACATTTCCTTTTTTAAACCAAAGGACTATTTTTAACTTTCTAAATAGTTTACAATCTCCCCCCAACAGCCTGGCCCCAGTTTTCCAAGATGTTGTATTCCGTGTGTTTCTGTGTGGTTTGGAAAGATTTTTTTTCCCTTTTCATTTCTTTCTCTCCCCTCCCCCACTGTGTGTGTGTGTGTGTGTGTGTGTGTGTGTGTGTGTGTATTAATGTATGGGCAGTGAATGGGTGTTTGCTATATGTGTGTGTGCCTGGGTCTCTCCCTGAATCTGAACCTAGGCAAGCAGCCGTCATGCTTCAACCTTTGTCCTGTCTCTTCCTGCAGCCTCAGCATTGGTGTTACAGGCTCAGGCAGCCATGCCCACCTTTGTATAGGTGCTGTGGATCTGAAATCAGATTCTCATATCTGCACAGCAGCCACGCCTACCCATTGAGCCATCTTCCTATACCTGTACACCTTTTAATAACCATGTAATAGCAACTGGATTTACTAGAAAAGGTAACAAAATTATTTGATTTCACCTTTCAGTAACTTTTCATCTAACCTTTTAAGCCTTTATAATGATATTGCTAACTTACAGAACAAACACAGGAAGGTCAGCAATAAGGCAAACGTGACTGCTACCAAGCCTGACAACCTGAGCAACAGAGTCACATACCAATCATTGGGGAGTGGAATGTGATGTGCTTCCCCAAATTCATGTGTTTGAATAATTTGTCCCCACATGGCAGCACTGTTTGGAAGAGTATAGAAACTTTAGAAAGTCAGGGGCAGCATAAGGGGTAGACTGTTGGCCAGCAAGCTTTTTGACCCAGATTGTTATACTCACTTCCTGTTTCCTGATCTACTGAGATGTGAGAAACTGCACAAGCTCTCAGCGCCTGGATGACACCACCCTCTGCCGTGTGTTTTCTGCTTTGATGGACTGCACACCCGAGCAAAATAAACCTGTGCCCTTTAAGTTGCTTCTTGTCAGGTATTTGGTCACAAAGGTAAGAAAAAATTGCTAATGCATGTAGATGATGGGAAAAGAGTGATACAGACCAATCTGATTATAAGCCCGGTGACTAGGCTTCTGTAGGTAACTTCATTTTTGTATGGTGCTAATTTAAGCTTATTTAAACAAATTTCCCAGCAGGAAAATCCATAGTATTTCTCCCAAATATAGTGCCAAACCATTCACGAGAATGAAACAGCTTAGCCTAGTTAACTTTCTTTCCTGTGAGATATTAATAGTGGTCTTTTTACCAGGCATGCCCATTTTGCCACACTTCTACTAGACTCTAAAGGAAAAGAAAGACAACCGTAAGGAGTGTGCTTTCTTGTGACGTATATCTCTGACAAGGAGATTCAGGTTGTGTTCTTATCACTCAGCTGGTGGTCAGACTTCTTCTTAAGCAGTCCATATTGCACCCAGCACTAGCCCCCTATCATAGGTGTGAACTATTGACCATGAATGGGCTCACAGATTAGATCCTGATCAGGTCATAGCCTTCAAGAAGGGTATTTAACATAGGAGTAGCGTGCTTCCCTCCTAGGAATGGGGCTTAGAAAATAAAATTGAATGGATAATACTTTACATGAAAGAAAATCTGATAGCACATCGTGATGCTTTGAATGAGAATGGCCCCCGTAGGCCCATATATTTGGATACTTGGTCCCCATTGAGTGGAACTACTAGAAAAGTATTATGGGCTGTGGTCTTAGTAGGGCTGTTTCACTGTGGGTGGGCTCAGAGGTTTCAAAAGCCAATATCATTCCCAATAAGATCTCTTTGCCTCATGCTTGTGGATCTACCTAAAGTCTTTCTACTTGTCCAGTGCTGTACCTGCCTGTTTGATGCAATGCTCCTTGCCATGATGGTCATGAACTTTAATTCTCTGAAACTGTGAGCCCCAATAAACTCTCCCGTATAAGTTGCCTCTCTGTAGTGGTTTTAATGAGAAATGTCATCCATAGGCTCACAATTTGAACTCCTGGTTCCTGGTTGGTGGTGCTGTTTGGGAGGTTTGGGAACTTTTAGAAGGTGGAACCTCGCTGGAGGAAGTACTTCATGGGAGCAGGCTTTGAGAGTTTATAGATTTGCCACTTTCTAGTTGATTCTCCCTGCTTTGGTTTGCAGTTGAAGACATGATCTTTCATCTTAGTGCTCTAGCTGTCTGCTGCTCTGCCTCCCCCACCATCATGGACTCTCTGGAACTGTAACCCAAAATAAACTTTCTTCCTTAAGTTGTTTTTTGTCATGGTATTTTATTACAGCATCAGAGAAGTAACTGATCTACACTGTCAAAGACAAGCTTAATTTACAATACTATCTCTCTTCTCTTTGTTGTATACCTTTGCCTCCATAAGCCACTGATTTTTTATCCAACAATGTATAAGCAGATCACCAGAAACATAAGCCGTGTTGTATTGTGATAAGCTTGATTAGCTGTTGGAAACATAGATATGTTCTTCCAAATAATATTCATATGAAATAGGTTTTTATTGCTGTTTTGATCACAGGGTTAGAAATGATAAAGGAAAATATCTTATCCACTATCCAAGCTGAGTGTAGAAACATGTATTAAGCAATACTATCAGCCTAAGAACAGAATGTTAAGTCTCCAGAAACACCTTGCACATACACCTGAAACAGCAGAAAATGGACATCTTCGCCTAGTATAAATAAATTTCTATTTTCAATTTTTAAGTGCAGTTACTACTGTAGAAAGGACATTTCACATGGATTAATGATCAACTAGAGGTAATGATTCTTCCCATCATTTTATACCATCGGCTCCTCTCTAAGATGAAACCTAATCAATCTATCATGATAGAGCTGATGGGATAGGGATACTTTAAAAAGGAATTGCCTCATTTGATACCAATAAACTCTTGGAACTAGAGAAACACAATCCTCTTCAGCAAGACCATGTTGATTGACTTTGCCCCCAAATCTGCAGAGAAACATAACAGTCTAATGGGAAAAAAAAAACTTGCTCTGTGAATTCAAAAAGCCACTCTTCTCTGTGATCGGGGATGGGGGCTGTTCTTGGAGTGTGGAATAGGAATACGGGAATTTCTTTTACCCATTCAATCAACACTGTGTTGGAAACAAATTAAACATCAGGCCTGTGTCTGTGTGCTGGTAATGCAACTCTGACTAACACACAGTCACTATCTCTAAGGGGTTTTAGTCCACAAAAAGAGCTACACGGAGGAAGACTTTCAACTGAAGTTCAAAACTCTACTATTTTTAACTCAGTCCTTGTAGTGGTAATAGGGGGTGATTAGAAATAGTAGGTAGCTATTAGCCCAATAAACTCTCTTGTATAAGTTGCCTGTCTGTGATAGTAAGGCCCAAGATGTGAGCCTCTCAGACAGAAGTGGTAAAATGTGCTATTTCTTGTATGTGATTAAAGAAATAATAGCACAGTGACAGCATTACGCGTTGTCCAGCTGGCCCAATAATTTAGTACTTGTGTATTGAGATCTGAGGGTACAATAGTAAGGGGGAAAGATATAAATGCCCCAGCAACAACAGTAAAGTTTCCTACTTATGCAAAGAAACGGAATAATTGGGGGTTTGGTTGTGGGACTGACCTGATCAGATTTTAGAAGGTTAGTTTTACCAAAGGGGTAAAATAAGTCAGGCTCCTTGAACACCACTTCTGTGCCTTAGGAAAAGTAAGGTGGTGGCGGGGAAGGCAGAGAGGCTCTGACAGCGAGCAACAATTAGGAAATAGGATGTGACATAGGGGAGAGGATGCCATTCGTGACGAGGGTGAAGCTCCAGAACATAGATTATTGAGGGAAAGATATTCACAATATTGGCTGTAAAGTTTTAGGGTGGGACACCTAACTAAAGCATTCTCTTAATTTCACAGACACCAGGCTTCCTCTGGGGAAACGAGTTTGGGACAAAGTTGTATTGTCACTGAGGCAGTGTGATAGAATAAGAAGAGAAAGAAGGTGACAAGCTGGAGACACAGCAAAGCATGATGGGAAACACAAGAAGAAATGTACAAAGTAGTGCATCTAAGGCAGGAAGACGTTAAATGAATTCTAAGTGGAATTTGGGAACTTTTATTCCTGACACCCATCCCCTCTTCCCATGGAGATGTCACGCTAACTTTGATTTGGGTAAACTCCTCATTTCCCATTCATTTGTATAGTTTAGACTTTACCTTCAGGCTCCAGAAGTCAAATGTATGAAGAAGTCAAAGCTAGTCAGCCATTCTCTTCCTGTGATAATTGGCCCAGTTGCAGACTAAGATCACATCAGTCATTGTCAGCAGAATTCAATTGTGGAGTTCTGAGTTAATAGAAAAAGAAATTTAGGACTTAGTGTCTGTAAGTAAAAGCACTGAGATTTTCTCTATAGTTAGAGCAATTAATCTGAAGCTACCCCGGGGGCTCTGCTGATAGCCCCTGGACCTCATCCAGGGGTAGGTACAGCACAAAAAGATGCATTTCTCCCAAACTTCCTACTGTGGTCACTGTCCCAAATAATTCCTTATGTTCCAGCTTTTCAATTCTCAACTCTACACTGAAAACTGCTGCCATGATGCCTCGCTATTTTACATGCTTTCTTTGGACTACATACATAACAGAAACATAAACTCACAGGAGACTGAAATCTCAGGGAAGTTGCAAGAAATAGCATAAAAATTAATTCCAATCTCATTACTCGAGTATAGTAACTGGAAAAAATTCAATATAAAATAGTATTTTAATTGCATATAACTAAATTAAAGAATATAATTCTGCCAAAAACATAAACAGACCATAAGGAAATGTGTTAAGATGTCAATATAGGCTGTTTTGAATGGTAAGAATTTTCTTCTTTCTTGTGAGTATGCTCTTTCTGCATATCACACTAACATGAATGGAGTTTAGCAATTCTTTTTTCTTCTCTGTATGCTGTGATTCAGATACTATTCTCAGAAATTAGAGAGTTCTATAAATGATAGTGTTAGCATTAATAATTCTTATTTTTCCCTTCAAAAAGTTATAGATATGAGTCTGCGATCGTAGATCTTTCGAGAAAATGGTGCAGTTGTAAAAATTAAAATACATTATAGTCAGTATACAAAAAATGAATTTTACACTTCACACAAGTAGGTGTGTAAGATTTGGAAATTTAACAACAGTGGCTTTCAAAATGTTTTAAATAAGGAATTTGTATGAATTTGTTGAAGTTTAAGAAACAATTTACAAAATGAATTGCCCAGGTGATCTTGACAAAGGAAGAAGCCAGTGACGTTGTTGTACCTGTGGGGTCATTAAGGAGTCACCAACTAGTGTGAGCTGGTAAGTTGTGACCCTTCTTAGAAAAAGTTCTTTCCTAGTCTCAAAATCAGAAAAACCTGCTTTTCTGAAGATATTAACATGGACTCTCTGTTTCTAGAGGCAACATAAGACTTTTTTTTAAATTTAAAAGCCAATTACATTCTATAAACACAAAAATAAATTTAGTCTTCTAGAAAAGCACACTAAGGTGATACCCAAGCTTCCTTCCTGCACAAGCAACTGACCTGCTGAAGCCAAAGCAGAGATTTTCCATAGAATTCCCCAGGACACTGTTCAGAACTTACTGCTAAAGTCTCTGTCTCTCTGTCTCTGTCCCTGTCTCTCTGTCTCTCTCTGTCTCTGTCTCTCTGTCTCTGTCCATGTCTCTGTCTCTCTCTCTCCCTTTTCTTCTGAGACCCCACCAAAATATAAATATGCTACTACTGAAAGTCCAAGTGAGATTTAAGATGACTTCCAGATATTTAAATTCTTCGAAATAAATTGATAGCTTCGGCAGAAATCCTAATGTTAAATTTCTCATTACAGGAGTTCTGTAATGCCCATTTCCAGGGCTGATATTCAAATCATGCTCCATAGAAACATAATTTTAACCTGTCAGGGGCCTAGATTATTTCTAGGATAGAAGAAGGATTAATTCTACTTACAGCTATAAATTTCCAACATAATCCAAGACTTTGTGGAAAGGATATGAGACCTGCTGTGAAGATTTTGAATCAGACGCCTCTGGCACGAAGGGACCACACTGCTTCGGTTTGGGTCTACCCTAGTCCCTGCCCACAGCCTGCCAACCAACTTTTCACCCAGGGCCTCAGCTTGTTCTCTTCTTTATTCATGTTTGAATGAGGCACTTGTTTGTTCAAGGCATAAAAAAAAATTCAAATTTGAGTGAATAAAAATTATTAATTGTTCATCAGCATGATATGGTAATCTTAAGATCCACTCGCCCCCCAGTAGAGAGTTGTCAATACCTCTTACACTGTGGATTAGTTTATACAAAAGATCAGCCTGTTTTGCCTTACACATAGCTGGCAGTCAAGGAGGTGGGAGAGGCTGCCTGGGAACGCGGCTGAGATAGCTTATTTTCAGCACTCCCATCTCCTTAAACTCTCAGGCTGCTCTTGGTCATACTCCTCTACTTTATCAATCATCCCAAATGTCCCTCTGGAGTTTGACTCCTATTTGAACTCAGTGTGGTAGCTCACAGTGCTTGTTGAATGCCCTACACTTCTCTATCAGAGGAACATTCCCATTCTTCAGCCCTAACTCCAGGGTCTATTGCCCCTAGACCGTGGAGTAGCCTCATCTACACAGCTATTGTGATGAAACAGACAGAGCAGTGCTGCAGGCTGGACCTCCACCCAGCACCATAGGACCTCTAGGAAAGAATGTAAGAAAGGAGGGCCTGCAAAGATCTTCTGGAACCTTCCATGTTGCAGTATTTGCCTTCTGTATAACACAAAATTACCCATGTTGTTTAGGAAACATGCATTCTCTGCTAATATTGAGGAATCTTAGCACTGTCCCTCATATTCAAATATATGAAGGTTGTATTAGGAACCAAATTTCCAATATATTCACTATGATTTTAAGACAACTGTGGGGCATCAAAATTACTTACCCCAAATTTGTATACCTCTCATGAAATAGGAGAAAGGAATACAATAATTTAATATGAGAAGTAACAAAAAGGAAATTTTATAGACCTTTTATCTGTCAAACATGCTTTAAAATATCTGTATTCTTTTCCACTCAATTCAAGAAAATCCCCAGCAATAAGATCCAAGGCCCTGTTCTAGGGCTTCCAGTGACTAGCGCTCATCTGAGATCCTCTAGCGGGTCCCACATACTTGTGTGCAGCTGATGCTGCCCTCTGGCTGCCAGTGGGAGAGAAATCCTCTCA